TGGGGGCAGAAAGTGAGACGAAAGCAGACGACAAAACATTTTTTAGAGAACAGGAAAGAATATGAAAGGAGAAAATTTTAAAGAAGAATTTTTCCGTCGCCGTTCGCTTTCGAACCCGGTACTTATTGAATGAAAGGCGAACACCGTAACCTCTCGACAACGAGAGCCCCCAACATTCCCTGAACTCTTTCAAAATAAAATATAATGAGAAGAAAATCCAAGAACAAAATGCAAAACAAACAAACATACACATAAAAACAAACAAAAAAAGCAGAAAAAAGACCAAACAAAAAAACAATCAAACAAAGTTAAGCCACCAAGACGAAACAAAAACACACCAAAACATCAAACACTCCAAATCCCCCTCTCCAGAGCAAGAACAAAAACAAGAACAAAAACAATCCAAAAACAAAAAAACCCACATAAAAAGACCCCCCCCCGAAAAAAAACAACCCCCCCCCCCAAAAGCAATCTCAGAATTCGTCACAATACACGTGTAAACAAATTATTCAAAAACATCTCCCCAGAATTTATCTCAGTCGCAAACAGTCACTAAGAAAAAAAGAGACAAACCGAAAAAAAATACCAACAGAAAACAAACATAACAAAACAACCCCCCCCCCTAAAAAAAGAAAGAAAAACAAAACAAAAAACCGCCAGAGAAAAGAAAAAAAAAGAGAAAAGAAACAAAAAATTAAAAAAGAAAGAAAATGGCACATGCATGGCTGGTTGGTTTTGGCTGTTGTGTTCATGCGTGACAAGAAACTATGCACCCAGGTCAAGGTCGTCTGATATTGTCCTATGCCCTGTATAACCTACTCTTTGAATTTGCACTTTCAGTTTGCTTTTTACCTCTGTTTATCTGTATATGTACTTACGTGTGTATGTGTGTGTGTGTGTGTGTGTGTGTGTGTGTGTGTGTATGTGTGTGTGTGTGTGTGTATGTGTGTGTGGGTGCGTGTGCATGAGTGTGAGTGTGAGTGTGAGTGTGAGTGTGAGTGTGCGTGCGTGCGTGCGTGCGTGCATGCATGCGTGCGTGCGTGTATGTATGTATGTATGTAAGTATGTATGTATGTATGTATGTATGTATGTATGTATGTATGTATGTATGTATGTA